GGTTTCACCATGTTGACCAGGATGGTCTCGATCTCTTGACCTCGTGATCCACCCGCCTCGGCCTCCCAAAGTGCTGGGATTACAGGCTTGAGCCACCGCGCCCGGCTCAGAAGTCATTTTTAAAGTAAACTTGGAATTTTAAATATGTGAAGCTGGCATAGTTCTTTGAATAGTTTATTTAGAAATTTTTCATTTTGGAATATTCACTCAAAAGTGCATGTAAGTCTGGGCACAGTGGCTGAGTCTTGTATGTAATCCCAGCACTTTGTAATCCCAGGACTTTGGGAGGTCGAGGTGGGTAGATCACCTGAGGTCAGATGTTCAAGACCAGCCTGGCAACATAGTGAAACCCCATCTCTACTAAAAATACAAAAATTAGGTGAGTGTGGGAGAGATCCCAGGGAGAGATCCAAGATGGCTGATTACTAGCAGCTCAGGATTGTAGCTCCCAGTGAAAGCTCAGGGAACGAGAGGACGCCATACTTTCGGACGAATTTTTGTTGCTCACGGACCAGGAGATTCCCAGCGGAGAAGCCCCACAGGTCACTAGTGCAAATCTTGTGGCCGGCATGGCAGTTTTGTCGGCACCCTGGCACAGTGGTTCTTGGTGCAGAGTAAACGGGACTGGGTCCCCTTTTGGTCGATGTTTGGAGCTCCGGGAAGGCAGAATCGCCCATTTAGCTGATTGAAAAAGGAACTCAAGAGGGAAGCCAGACCAGAGATTCCCGGGCAGAAAAGCACCAAGAATCTTAACGCCACTGTTTTAGCTGGCGCATTGGGTTGCTCAGATTTCAGTGCTGGGAATCAACAAGTTGGACATCCACTCAGAGACCTAATTTGAAAGTTGGTAATTACAGGTGGATAAATTTACAATGATGGGAAGAAACCAGTGTAAAAAGGCTGAGAATACTCAAAATCAGAATGCCTCTCCCTCTACAGGGGATCACAGTTCCTCATCAACAAGGGAACAAGGCCTGATGGAGAATGAGTGCGTTCTAGTAACAAAATTAGGCTTCAGAAAGTGGATAATAAGAAACTTCTGTGAGTTAAAAGAACATGTTCTAGCCCAATGTAAAGAAACTAAGAACCTTGAAAAAAGGTTTGACGAAATCCTTACGAGAATAGACAATTTAGAGAGGAATATAAGTGAATTAATGGAACTGAAGAATACAATACGAGAACGCCAAGAAGTATGATGCACAGGTTTTAACACTCGAATTGATCAAGCAGAATAAAGGATATCAGAGGTCAAATACCAACTTAAATGAAACGAGAAGACAAGATTAGAGAAGAAAAAGTAAAAAGGAATGAGCAAAGCCTCCAAGAAATATGTGACTATGTGAAAAGACCTAATTCACATTTGATAGGTGTACCTGAATGTCATGAAGAGAATGAATCCAAGCTGGAAAATATTTTTCAGGATATTATTCAGGAAAATTTTCCTAACCTAGTAAGGCAGGACAATACTTAACTCCAGGTAATACAGAGAACATCACAAAGATATTCCTCAAGAAGAGCCACCCCAAGACACATAATCGTTAGATTGACCAGAGTTGAAATAAAGGAGAAAATTCTAAGGGCAGCCAGACAGAAAGGTCAGGTTACCCATAAAGGGAAGCCTATCAGACTCACAGCAGAACTCTCAGCAGAAACCCTACAAACTAGAAGAGAGTGGGGGTCAATATTCAATATCCTCAAAGAAAAGAATTTTCAACCCAGAATCTCATATCCAGCTAAACTAAGCTTCATAAATGAAGGAAAAATAAAATTTTTCGTGAACAAGCAAGCACTCAGAGATTTCATCACCACCAGGCCTGCTTTACAAGAGCTTCTGAAAGAAGCCCTACACACAGAAAGGAACAACCAGTATCAGTCATCCCAAAAACTTACCAAAAGGTAAAGAGTATCCTCATAATGAAGAATCTATATCAACTAATGTGCAAAATAGCCAGCTAGCATTAAATGACAATATTATAAGTCACAAATACCAATATTAATCCTAAATTTAAATGGATTAAATGCCCTAATCAAAGACACAGACATGCAAATTGAATAAAAGACTCAAAAGGATGGAGGAAGACTCACCAATCAAATGGAGAGCAAAAAAAAACAGGACTTGTAACTTTCGTCTCTGACAAAATAGACTTCAATAATAACAAAGACTAAAAGAAACAAGGAAGTTACATAATGGTAAAAGGATCAATGCAACAACAGGAATCAATGATCATAAATATATATGCACCCAATATAGGAGCACCCAGATACATAAGACAAGTTCTTAATGACTTATAAAGAAACTTGGACTCCTGCACAATAATAGCGGGAGACTTTGACACCACATCGTTAATATTCGACGGATCAACGAGATAAAAAATTAACAGGGACATTTATGATTTGAACTCAGACCTGGAACAAGTAAACTCAGTGAATATTTATAGAATTCTTCACCCCAGGACCACAGAACATACATTTTTTTCAGTATCACATTACACCTATTTTGAAAGTGACCACATAAATAGAAGTAAGTCACTTTTCAACATTTGCATAGCATTTCACAGATTTAAATGAAATATTGGTTGGCTGTTTGTTTGTTATTTTCTTCCCTTATTCCTGCCTGTCTCCGCTGTTAAGTACAATTATCAGCATAAAAGAGGTTTTTAATACCTATTTTTAGATTGCATTCCAGCCTGGGCAATAGAGCAAGACTCCTGTTCTCTCTCCCCCTTTCTCTTTCTCTTTCTTTCTTTGCAGCCTGCCCCCGCCCCACCCCACACGCCTCCCTCCCTCTACTCCCCGCCAAAAAAAAAAACAAAACAAAAAAAAGAAATTCCCAAAAAAAAAACAAAAAACAAAAAAATTAGGTGAGTGTGGTGGTTCACGCCTGTAGTCCCAGCTACTTGGGAGGTTGGGGCAGGAGAAGCACGTGAACCAAGGAAGCAGAGGTTGCAGTGAGCTGAGATCGTGTGACCGTACCCTAGCCTGGGCGACAGAGCAAAACTCTGTCTCAAAAAGGAAGAAAAGAGCAGCTGGGTATGGTGGCTCACTCCTGTAGTCTCAGCACTTTGGGAGGCTGAGGCGGGCGGATCACCTGAGGTCAGGAGTTCAAGACAAGCCTGGCCACATGGTAAAACCCTGTCTCTACTAAAAATGCGAAAATTAGCCAGGCATGATGGCAAGTGCCTGTAGTCCCAGCTATGCAGGAGGCTAAGGCAGGAGAATTACTTGAACCTGGATGGTAGAGGTTGCAGTGAACTGATACTGCACCAGTGCACTCCAGCCTGGGCGACAGAGACTCCATCTTAAAAAAAAAAAAAAAAAGAGAAAAAAAAAGAGCGTATAAAATGTAAAGATATAATAAATAATAAAATGAAAACTATTGATTTATCTTTTACTAATGAATGATCTTAGTTATTTAATTTTTCCCTTATGTGTGTTCTGTCTTCTCTTTTTAAATTTGAAGCTCACAGGCATTGCCAAGCATTGATAATTAGTGCAAACAAGATTGCAGGTCTATGATAACATTCAGTCTCTCTTGGCAATAATAGCAAACATTGCCTATAATTTATTTATTTATATTGAGATGGAGTCTCACTCTGTTACCCAGGCTGGAGTGCGGTGGCATGATTTTGGCTCACTGCAACCTCTGCCTTCCCGTTTCCAGTGATGCTTTTACGTCATACTCCCAAGTAGCTGGGCATGCAGCTTACAGGCATGCACCACCACGTCTGGCTATGTATTTTTAGTAGAGACAGGGTTTCACCATGTTGGTCAGGCAGGTCTCGAACTCCTGACCTCAGGTGATCCACCTGCCTCGGCCTTCCAAAGTGCTGGGATTACAAGTGTGAGCCACTGCACCCAGCCACCTATACTATAATAGGGAATAGTTCTAAATTTCTTGGAGAGCTACTAACTGTAGTTCAGATAGCTGTTTAACTGCCAACAAGCTGGAAATTTCAGCGAATTCATGCTTTTAAAAAAATGTAACTTGATGACCTTGGTAATACTTTCCACCACTTTTTGAATGCTTACATTTACATTTTTATTCTAAGTCATAAACATAAGTGTGATGTTTGGGCTGTTTCTTTTGCAGAAAGAATTAGGACTTTGCATTGGAAAAGGAAATGGCAACAGATCTGACTCAATATAAAAGACTGAAATTAGTAGGAGAGAAATAGCAAAAAGCCTAAATAATTTCAACTTGAGAACATAATAGTTTAAGAGTTCTGGGCAATTCAAAGTAAATGTACAGATGTTCTCAGGTGGCAGATGTATGAATTGTGGTGGAGGGAGAAAGCATGTAGTCATGAAACACCTTGAGGCAGGATGCTAATTTTACAGAACTGAAGCTCCTTTAATTTCCACGATTAATGCCAATAAAAGAAAATCTTGACTTATTTTTTTAACTAGATATGAAGAAGCTGAAGTTCGGAAAAAACTTGAAGAAAAAGACAGGCAGGAGGAAGCACAGCGGCTACAACAAAAAAGGCAGGAAACAGGAAGAGAGGATGGCAGCACGTTGGCTAAAGGTTCTTTGGAGAATGTATTGGATTCCAAAGACAAAATCCAAAAGGTATTTCAAATTTATTGTGTGAGTTAAAAGACCATTTCTGCTTGTCAGATGATTTGCCTAAAAAGAGTTGCAATTACCACAATAAAGTTCTTTTAGATAACAAAGATAAAATTTAATGTTTTAATTAGAAATTGATTTAAGGCCGGGCATGGTGGCTCACTCCTATAATCCCAGCCTTGCCAATGTGGTGAAACCCTGTCTCTATTAAAAATACAAAAGTTAGTTGGGTGTGGTGGTACATGCCTGTAGTCCCAGCTACTAGGTGGCTGAGGTGGGAGAATCAATCCGGAAGGCAAAGGCTGCAGTGAGCCAAGATTGTACCACTTCAGTCTGGGCAATAGAGCAATGCTCTGTCTCAAAAAAAAAAA